CGTTATATAGACTTCCAATAAACCTATTTTAACTATTTGACTGTTATGTCTTTTTCACTCCACGTTATAGATTTTATAAGAAAGTTGTAATTTATCATGTGTATTGTTTAATATCTATATTGTCGATATATCGCAATCATAGAATAGTCAAGCATATCATTATTTCCAAACTATCAAATTATTCTAATCATTGTGTCGACTACGTTCATAGGAATGTTGTCGGTTATCATTAAATTAGGTGTTTTATCTTTATCACTAAACAGGGCCAAAAATATTTTCATTAATCTTAGTTCTAAGTATGGTTAATGTGCATCTATACATGTAGATACAGTTTTATTGTACGCCAAATAGGCTGGCTAATCGGCTAATGAAGTGGATTCGTTTATATTTACTAGCAGTCAGCATTCAAATATTTGCCCAAGACTTATGAAGCTGCTGATGTCATTGTGTGTGGCTGGAATAAGCAATGAAGTTTGAGTTCCATTACGTCAGAGAAGTGGCTTATATATATTTATATTATATGTATACAAAAGCATTATATTAACTGGCACTAGAAGCATATCATGGTAATGTGGATTTTTTGGGATGATTTGGTTTTTGTGTTGTAATATCATAGCAAATTATCCAGGTATTTACCGCTAAGGTTTTTGGGATAGACACTATGTGGACTGATAGGGTTTTAGACTAACAGTGAGAAAGATAAAGAATTGTTAGTGTATAGTGACTTGGAAGCAACTCATCGGTTTTTGTCATAGTAGATTATTTTATCTTTATATCTGTGTTTTAAAAAAGGTAGGTAATGTTTAAAAGTGCTTCACTGTCGATTCAGTGACACATATCGTATTTCTAGTATAATACTGGTGTAATTCAGAAATTATATTTTTTTTTGTAATTAGACTTTTAATACCTTTATTATAAAGTGGACTTTCTAAAATTTGTAATTTTTGAGTTAAGCCAGTATTATAATAAGTGTGCGATATACATGCTTGGAATATTCGTTATAAACCAATCTGTATCTACATTTGCGTTGCATATAACTTAATACTAAATGTATTAGTTACACCATGTTTGACTAAAAACACTAAAGAATACTGTAATGGGACCAAAATCAAATTAGATAAATACCAAAATGTATAGTGTATAATACCCTAAAATAATGTGAATTATTTTCAAGAACTTGCTCTGTGACTGATTTCATATCCACATGATTTTATATATCTATTTTATCTTATCTACCTTTCTTTTAATAAAAGGCCTTGAAAAAGAATTTATCCTGAACGCACGCGACTCCCCGACCTTCATAGAAGGCTGGTTCAATAACGCCTCGAGTTTGTATAATAGATATCCTTTCCAAGGGCACTCCTTCAGACTGTGTACAAACCAGAATTTTATCGACCGCCGCGCCTTAAATACACCAACCATACTTACTTATAATAGTAATTGCTTCTATCTCTACAAATAACTGGTAACCACACCAATAAAAGCCTGTTTGTTTATGTTCCATGCAAACAGTGTTTCATCGCGGTGAAAATAATTTTACTGCTGTCGGTACCTATATCGTTGGCTTAATTACTAAGCGTCCATCACTTTATAAATAATATCTGCTATTCGATATATACCAGTAACCCGTTCCGACTTCACCCGAGTTGTAGAACAGACCAACTTTTTCATAACTACAATCACTGGCTCGTGTATTGGTACTTTTATAATTATCGGACACATACATAATATTAAATTGCATTTCAATAATTGCATAATAACTAAAATTAAGTTTACTATTTTTAATTTTAAAGTAGATATTCCATAATATGTAACTTTGAAATCAATGTAGTTCAGCATTATGCGTGCGATATTATGAACGTCAGTACGTGTACATTCTATATTACTATTTCTTACTTTATGTCAAAAGTATGTGGACATTACATTTAGCAAATTTTTATTTTTTTCATATTGTTTTGTTATTTGTTGCCAATATCATAAATAAATTAAACAATTTCACATCTATACTAATAATATAAATACGATATTAGATGTATGTGTACATTGTACAATGTCGTACGTAAAAATTTGTTGCTATCTGTTTTCACTAGGTTCATGCGAAATTCTGTTAAAGTATGTTACGCATACACATTAGGTTGTCTGTTACGTAAGCTCCGAAACGTACTGCTGTATTTAACATATATTTACTTGCTTATTATTAAATAATACTTTTGCTATCATAATGCAATGTCACGTCCAAAAGATGCAAACAAAGAAGAGTGAACGGTAGTGAGGCAATTGTAGAAGCTTAAATTGATAAAATTATTTCAATTGAAATCAAGAGTTTAACACGCCGATGTTTAATAGTAAAAAATGAATATAGATATAAACAAAGTCAGGTTGAAATAAATCAAACTGATATAAACCTACTAACTGGAGATGGTAAACGAACGTTTACGTTTAAGATCTTAAGCTTCAAGTAATAGGGTACATGATGCTTGAAACAATATTAGTAGAGCTAATACTCATGTATACTTTTGACAATGATAAAATTTTCACAATTAGATAACTTGTAGCCTACAAGACCTGTTAGGAAGTCCTTTAGAAACGGGTTGCCAGTATTCGAACATCTTTGTATACTATTAAAATAAAGTCACAGCCGCTGTCTCTATGCTTCTATCCTTTAAATTTCCAAATGGATTTTTATAAATGCAACAGATATAGCGATTCATGATGAATATGTATAATATATATATATATATGTATTATATATATAAAAGCCGAAAAATTCGCTAGTATATTCATACTAAACCTATATGTAAATATTAATATATTTACATATAGGTTTAAGATGATAGTGTGTCAGTGATAAATATTGTAATAATAATCTCTATTGGTACATTGTATTTAGTAAGTTTTTATTATAGTTTAATATATTTCTAAAGGTCGTACCTGATACATATAATTAGCGTAACAGTAATTTATAAATATAAAATAAACATAACATATCTGACCTTTAAGCCTGCTGACCATTCAGTCAATATCATTACAGAAAAGCGAATGTTTATTATAGACTACATATAAAAGTACAGCATGATATTGTCGTTATGTAAGTGCCAGTTATATCATACGAGATGCTCGGATCTATGATAAACTTTGTCCCCGATTGTTGAACTAAATTTATCTACACAAGTTCCGATTCAAATATATGTCATTTTGTTTATGTAGTACACTTATATATATACAATAGAACTTCAAATTTTTATTTACCTAGTAGTTACGGTGAAATGATAATGATAACAGTTTATCTTTCAAGTATCTGTCATCTATCGTCATTATGTGATCGTTGCAGCTTCTTTTGTATAGAAAATAAATAGTATAGAAAAAGAATAATTGTGGATATCACAATTATTCTTTTTCTATACGCATTTTACTATAATTACCTAGTACTGCAAACACTAGGTTTTTTAATTAATAATTAATTCTGTTGCATAGGAACGGCCTGTTACTTCATTTGAAGTAGGACTTACTACACCAATTTCAACTTTTAAACGTAACTCATTAGCAGGTGAAATGCATTTTAAAAGTTCATAACTGAGTTTCCGTTTAGTAGATATTGTTGAAATGAGGTTACGGTTTGAGATAAAGTTGGAATGTTCAGCGCTCTGCTCTACTGATATTTAATATAGGCCAATTCCGTTGTCACTATTTCTACTATTTTTATGGTGATCTAATACAATAAAAACGTCTTTAATAATAAAAAACATGCTATCATGTAATTAATTAATATCAAATATATATAATAACCAGGATATTTAATATAAAAAAGTATGTACATGATATGAGGGGTTTTCATGAGTAGGTAAATATTATTACCCATTTAAAATAAAGAGCAAACTATTATGATAGTTGACAGCGAAGTGACGCTACAGAATGAGGCCATGATGCAATTAAGCGGAGATCAAGGGACTTCGCAATCCCAGCAAAATTACAAAACAAATGAGGTCACCGTCAAACAATACCCATTTTGTACTTACACAATGTAGATTATATTTTTGGAAACTAATAAGATATTAAAATTTTATATGTATCAAACCCCTTCAAATATTATTTGATTCATTATATTATCTATATTATTGTTTTATATCTGAAATCATAGTAAAAATTTTATATGTCGTTATTAATATTTCAAAATACCTTTAGTCCTTATTAAATTACGAGAATTGTGTCTATTTACAAATATGTAATAATATTCGTTGCAAAGCAAAATTTGCAACATTAGGAAGAAACTCACTATATTGCAACATTGTAGTGCAGGTAGGACATTATGCAAAGCGTGAATGTGTCCGAAATTGAAATACATATCACGAAATAATTTCACAAATATATGCATATTTTCAATATAGAATTTTGTTTCAATATCCAGTAGCAATTTGATGTTTTCAACATATGAACACATTAATTTTGAGGTTTATTTCAAAATATGTATGTTGGTAGTTTAATATTTTTTTTACTTATAAGACGATGCATTTAGTACCGCGACATGTGTGATGATGTCATAACAAATTACTCATTTGAATTCTTTTGAACCCAATCATATTCAAAAACTAAATTGCCTAATCCTTCGATTCACATTCTAAGTAGATAAAAATAAAACTACATCGATGATTTTATTATAAATAGATCAACCATTCATTCATAATGTTTACGTTTGTTTAGTAAATGTTCAGTCATATTTCTAGGAACAGTTGGAGGAATACCGGTACAATGATTAATTATAACTAATAAGTAGATGAATTGAACGTAACTATATTAAACATTATTCTTGATATTAATTTTAATGTTCAAAATTCTTAATATGGTATGGTTATGGTATGGTTATCTATTAGAGGTGCTTGGCTTGCTATCACCTCGTCGTACCTCAAATTCTCAAGTCCATAATAATCTACCGTTTGTTATGTTTACATTTTCAATGATAAACTGTAGGTATCTTATCAAGTGCAACTTTTGTATTGTTTCAGCGTTATCAGTGGGCGCGTTGAGCGGCACAAGCGGCGTGGGCCTCCCCACGCTGGTATCGGATTCAACGCTGGGTGCCGTGGATATGGTCCAGGAAGGGGAGACTGGCGCGGGAAGCGATGGTCTTATCGCTCCGCGTCGGTTGCCCAACCCGTATCTAGAAAGTCCGCAGCGCATGGATCTGCATAGGGAATTGCTCTTCAATCAAAGGATGTAAGTGAAAAAAAAATTTCATGTAATATATATGTACCGACATATGTACGAAAACCATAGTTTGTCATGTACATACGCCGTTCTATGAAAATACATTAAAAATATTTTTACCAAAACAAGAATATTGTGCATAATTCATTTATTTTTTTAAAGTTTGAATATTAGATTCATATTAGATGAGTAACATAAGGTTTTATTTTCCTATGTTTTGTATGTATGATGTTTCAGACATCAAATTTATAGAAGGAAAATATTTTGTAAATGAATCTAACTTTTATGTTGTAAACATACACCTAATAGGTACAGATTGTATTATTAATATTAATATGGTTTATTATATATTATAATGGGCATTAATACAATACTTAAATAAAACCATAAACAATATTTAAACAAAGGCATACAAAAATATATTGTCATTGTGCTAGTTCTTTGTTAGTTTTTGTAATAATCTAAACGATTAGAACATGATATTAGATAATTTTATTTGAATATAGATAATCCTTTACCTAATGTATTTATGACAGTTTCAAGTGCTGGCTAAAGTTCAAGCGCCAGCTATTATTAGAATGACTAATTTCAAATGATGTCGTAATTACGTTATTATTAATGTATGTTTAACAATTTCATAATCACTAACACACGTACTGTTTAAATAAATACCAGACACAATTTGATGAAATGAAATAATTAAATATAAAAAGGATGCAATATTGTACGAAAGATTGTAAGCGGCCCAACCTTATTAAGCTTTGAAAGGAATTCAAGAGCCTGTCGCTATCTACAAAGGCGTGTCACCACATTCATCTATTGTTAGTAAGAGCAGGTACTTCTTAAAAGTACTTTTTGTGCTCTTTACCTAACCTCTGCAAGAGGTTGTGGATATAAAATTTAAGTTTATTTAGAATTTTATAAGTCATACATAATCGTTATCTAATAAATTAAAACAGCCATTAAAACACTTGTATAATCCATAGACAAATGAATATTCTTCATCGATCGTGAATTAGGAGTGTTATATATAACAGCTATAATCCCAATCTTTTGTTATTACTTATAATTACATACGAATTATACGTACATCTAGACACGCGGCAGCGTGTCAAGCCGAGTTTCAAGTAAACTGGCTTGCAGCACCGTGTGTATATTTACACGAACCATTTGGAGCCACTTTTGACCCCCTCATAACTCAAAAACTCTTTCACACAAACCTGTCAAATTTGGTTCATATATTGAGACTTGCGAGATAAATATGTGTTCCAAATTTCATAAACATATCTCAAACGGTTATTTAGATATTAATGTCCAAAAATCGTCATTTTTATCACTGATCAACTATAGATCAAAATTATAACCCACTTCCAGATGACCTAGGAAGTTCAAATTTGGTATGCAGATAGGTAATTAGGTGAATATAAAGGAAAAAATCTGAAACTGGTAAATTGTTATCATTTTACTACAATTTTTCACTTTAATTGATTCTATTTCAACTTATACTGGACGAATACTAAAATTCTATGAAAACGTCGATAGCCACCAATTGACATTGATCCCTGGCGAAAAATCTCATCTTGTACTGGACCGAAAGTAATATTGTATGAAAACGTCGATCATTACCAATTTACGTTGACCCCTTCACATCAGTGTCGATAACTAGCAAACTTCAAATATTGCATTGAGCGGTAAACACTAGTTGCTATAATTTAGATTCTGTCTAAAATATACTCGTACTTATAACTAGGAGTATAGTCGAATTTCGTATTTATTATGTTATTAACTGAGATTTGGTATTAATTATTGGTTCAATATTTAGCGCACATCGATAGTGTAAAATCATTATTTTTATAAATAATTATTAAATAATAGGCATTTCGGTATAGGGCGCCGCGGCGGCGCCGTGTGGGAGCGGTGCGATAAAACTCAATGTTTTGTTTCTGGATATCTAACCTATAAGGTTGCGATTTATGCTACGAAATTTATAGCTTTCTTAAATTATACTTATATATTTGTGATTATATTATTATTACATTATTTTAGTAAATACGTATGGTATAGACAATAGTTTAAACCAAAAATTAATAACAATTTTAGTATAGTTATAAGTAGGAATGTATAGTTAATTCGAGAATGAGAACTCATTGGTAACAAATTGTTTTCTTGAGAATTCAATAGATAACAGTCAATTTGTTACATAATCGTCTTTACGAACTATAACGTGTCAATACGAAGTTTCAGATATTAAATAATGTATATGTTGATAGAGAACAATTCCGTATTTACTTAACATATGCTATTACTATCCACAAATCACAAGGCCTTAGTTTTGGCAGTCCTCTTCTCAGCATAGCCTCCTCTATATTTAATAAAGGGCAGGTTTACGTTGGACTCTCCAGAGTTAAAACCTTAGATGGAGTACGTCCTAACAATTTAGATCCAAGTCACGAGAGCTCTATTGTAGAGTACAACCATCTGTGGACGTTATACCGCCCCGATTTGCCCAAAAATTCCTGATACTGAATTGGCATTGCACTTGAACATTTAAAAGTTACAAGAAAATATAGAAAATAACACAAAAAAAGACAATTATACCCCGTAAATATACGAAAATACAGTAATTTATCAAAAATAAATTGGTATTAATTTAGTTATAAATAAGTACCTCGTATAATTTATGTACAAAAAGTAATGATATCCCATCAAAAACATAAATGTGAAATAATAGCCGAGTTTAATATTATGATATATGGCTTGATTGTTGACTTCTACGACAAAAGAGATGAGATCTAAATGGGTGCCAAGTTCAATGGTCTGTCCTGAAATGTATTTATAACAATATAAAATATAATTTCTTCTTATAACTTAGGATAATATACTGTAGCCTAAGGTCTAACTTGGCTAGTTTTCATATACGAAATATACTGTAGCCTTCGCAAGTTCTAAACATGTTACTTGTCGGTTCCTATTTTAATATTAATAGTAACTAGCAATCGAAAGTAATAATTGGTATATGAGAACTGGCCAAGTTAGACCTTAGGCTACAGTATATTATCCTAAGTTATAAGAAGAAATGATATTTTATATTGTTATAAATACATTTCAGGACAGACCATTGAACTTGGCACCCATTTAGATCTCATCTCTTTTGTCGTAGAAGTCAACAATCAAGCCATATATCATAATATTAAACTCGGCTATTATTTCACATTTATGTTTTTGATGGGATAATTCATATCATCATTAATCTACCTACTAAAATATTAGTTACCAAATAAAAAGCAATGTTTTGGTTTTCTAATATATCCGATGTAATCAATTTTTTTATTAACGCATGTATGTCTATTTTTATTGTTAAGTATTGTTTGAGAACATCTCAACAATTCCTATAGTCGGGTCCTTTAATGATCTGAGATCTAAATGAGTGGGGTACCGGCGCTATTTCTTTGTCGGTTTTTTGTCAGCATTCTTTGTCGGGAATCTTCCTATGAAACATGCCTGCTTCGTTTAACGTTATTAACCCCATTCAAACGTGCTCAAAATGTGGGTACAGCGTGTTGTAGCAAGCAACAAGTAAAGTTTTTGCTAGAACTAACTTTGGATTCTCGATGCACAGGTGCAGTGCATCCTGCCTTGTGAACAATTATTACACATCTGCCGCGTGTGATCGCTCTCTACGCAATGCAGTTTATTTACATGTGTTTCTGTACGACGTATAACATTCATAAAACATATAAATATCAATAACAACTGTAAATACTCAATCAACTTATATTTGACACTAATTTAAAATATTCAAATCTTAAAAAAATATGTATATTATGTTTAAAAAGTCATAGATATTTATTTGCAATTAATTAGAAATATAGTTTTTTTTTAAACTTTATTATAAAGTTTTTAATAATATTATAGTAAGTCTTAGTTTTTTTTAGAATTGTAATGGCCAAAACATTTCCCTTACGAATGATGGCATTATATCAATAATATGCAATGTGGTGTTATGCACTATATAGTTACTCATGCAAGCAATTCCATGGTTATATTTTTCAACTGACCCAAATATAAAATACATAGTAAGACTATTGTACATTTATATTTATTTGCTGTTAATGATGTTTAAGTACACTTACACATAAAAAATATAAAAACAGTGTAACTCATGCCCTAGTCTTTATTCATTGCAACGCGAGATACCAGCATGAATGAATATAAAGAAATGTAAATAAATAAAGAACGAGCAATGGTGAGTGAATAGCAGAAGTGACCTGTTGAATCAGTTCATTTCACCGTCAATACGATTGTCGGCCATCTCGTTCCTGTTATTTCCGTGGCTGCGAGCGACGGAAGGAAGCAATTCCCAGCGCTCTAACGGGAATGCCTCTGTCTACCTACATACCTGTATCTACGCAGTCGCGCATGTCGTATATTTAATAATATCCACATTACAATACAAATGCTGTGACCTCACAGTAGTGGTTTATATGATAAATTGCTATTGTAGTAAATGCTTCTTTGTTTGTTAAATTATGTATATCTTTGTTTGGACTGAGCCTAATTATAAAATTAAAATTGGCGTGGCATAAAGAGATTTTCCTTTAGTACAGTCTTTTTAGTCAATACGTAGATGAACTTACACAAGTATAGATAGGATATTTAATAAAAAGTTGAAAGATAATAAAATAACACTTTCATAAAATTGTAAAAATTTATAACAAAACCAGTAAGTAAAGTAAAACATAAATCGCGCTTTAATGCATGACCTCATGGTTTAAGAACCTGTTTCTGATTTTGGAATTTCCATCAAGGAGTGAAATAAGGACAGATTTTATCCAGAAACGAGCGAAATGTATTGTATACATATGTACTTACAACATTTTAGGTAGTTATTTATAATCACAAATTCGTGTTCATGTTGGTACTATAATATATTTATTTAGGTTTATAATGCATACTGTAGTCAGAGGCATTAAATTGTAACCACCTAACCACTTTATTATACCTATATGTATTTAGTAGTACTTACTATTAATGTATATAATAGCTATTTGAAATATTATAAATTTAAACAAAAACGAATATATAGTTTTATAAAATGAAATAAAAATATGTCACTGCCAAAGCCTTTACTGTGTGTTCGCTTCGAAGAGATCGGAGATTGCGAACTCGATTTAGCTTGAGATAGGCCAAGCCGGTGGCCTCAATCGATATGTAAATAAAGTTACATTTCATCAGTGAGGATTGCACGCGATGTGCCGTGAAGCCGCCGTAATTAGCCAGGATTAAATCTCGCTGATGGTCGGTAATGGACGCGCCAACTTGATTCCGCACTCCACGATCCCAACTAAACTGATTCTAAATGCTCCACTGAATTCCAATTGCAAACCTATTTTTGACTCACAGAAACATGGAAATGTTACGGACTAAACTACAGTAGATAGACTATGTTGTGCTGAAACCCACCAAGTAGGTACTCGTAGTATACACATAATTTGCCATGAGGTCGACATCGTTAATGAGTTGGAATGTTTTAAATTTATATATATATATACCTCTTCTATATTTGTCGGTTCTCGTGTCGAGAAATTATTCCGGTGCAATAAGTTTCGTCATGATTGTCCACCAGCGTTCACTACCTTTTCACGTACAAATCTTTTTTATGTACATCAGGAGTAAAAATATAAAGTAATAGATATGTATGCCTAACATCTGAGACGATGGATATCTGTCCATGGTCTTGAAAACATAGAAAAAATTAAAAATACATGCAGGTTCTGTAATAAATTTCAGAATATTAGCATCAGTAAGTAAAAGTTTTGCTGCATTGATGACATAAGAGAAATTACTTATTTAGTCAATGTAGTTTAGCTACTTTTGTGACACTGGATTAAATAAAGTGTATAAAGAAACAGTTACATTAATGGGTAGTTCAGTAGAGACAGCTGTGCAACTCTATCAATAAAACAATGCAATGTGTTCTGACGTCATAGCCACCAAATAGGACACCATATGCAGGTACCGATTGCGCGTGGGAATACTGTTAAGGAAATGCTAAGACTCGAATGAGTACGTAACTATACAGTCGTCTTGTTCGAATTACATTATACAGTTCTTTTTATTGTTCTAAAATAGATCCGTATTATATATCTGAATATCTCTTCGACCTTCACCTAAACGTGTGTATGTAACTTAGGTAGGAGTTTCAATAATAAATGTACATGCTACATTTAGGGCAATAGATGTAATAAATATGATGAAAAAGTTTGCGTCTTAGCTGCTGTGATAAAATAGTTTACGCTAGATGCAGAAGATCATTGTAAAGTTATGAAATTTGGTATGAAAGTCCTTTAGACTATACTACAGTTTGTTTGTAATCGTAAATTCTTATCTTTTTCAGAGGAAAGAATGTCCTTAATCAAAAGAGTGAACTACAGAAGGCGCTTTCAAAACACAAAGAAAAGCAGATTATGAATCAAGTTAAGGAACACAGGGAAACGCCAGGTAAATATAATACCCACATTTTTTACTACTTATTTTGAAATAAGTAGGCACCTACTAAATGTTAAAATTGGTTGAGTAGTATATTTTGTAAAGCATTTAATTTTGATGTAATTATAATGTAATTTATTAATGTGAAATTTTGTAAGATTACATTACAAGTCAAATTATTATTGGCGAGAAGCGACGCTCGAAGGTTTGTGCAATAAATGTGCAATTTCGTAATAAACCGATTTCCTGATACACATTACAAGCCCTATTGATCGATCGGCCTACGCTATAAATACTAACGTTATTCTGATTAAAATATATGTACATTTTAATTTTATTAGACAATAAACTTAATGCTACCTGAACAAGTCTCGTGATTAATGTTCAGGGAACATTTAGTTCCTGCCGCTTTTATTTTTTGTATAGCCTTCTAGTATTAGAATTTATTTATAAATCACAGGCTAGACATGATCTAAACCCTGTGGAATAGCAACGCATGTGTGGTAGTATCGTCCAGTGAATCTGTAAAGGTCAGCTGGAGCCAACATCATTATAGTAGTCCGAAAATGAGTATCACATGATAACGTGATGTCCGCATATAGGCAACCATTATCGTTTACCACCAAGTGGTCCGTCAGCTTGTTTGTCATTTCAATTACATGAAACAAATATTAATAATCTAGACAAATAGAAGAACCAGGAAATAGAATATTTTTCTTTTTGCTAGGTTATATAGCTAGGTTTTTATATCATTGCTGTAATATATGACAAATTACGAAGTGACACAGAATTGACATACGCAATGTGACCTACCGTTATGTGATCGTCTTCTGTGCAGTGATTGCATTGCATCCTTTATTGAATAGACTAATCAATTTTATGACCTTCCGCTGCACTATATTGGTTAGGTATCTATTTCAATGTGACAAGTTGTTTGTTATTCAAACGAGTACACACTATTGCCTAGTAAAATGTATGTATGATCTGAAAATCTACAATATTTCAAATAAACGACAAAGCACGGGTATTGGACATGACTTCGTATTTATTTCTAAATATGCTAGTTGGCGATACGTGTAGGTAAATTTCAATTTAACAAATAATATACTAATTTAAATACATATTAAGTATTTGTTAATATTTCTATATAGGCTATGTTTAAAATTTGATGGTAGATTCTATGAAAAAAAAACATTATACCTACAGTAAAAAACAGGATGTTAGTAGAAAGTGCATAAGTTTTTGATAGTGTTTAGAAACTGGTTGTCTTAGAACAATTCTTAATTATTTTCTTATTGGTTTATTATTTTTTTATTAATATTTGTTCAACAAATAAGCAAGTTATATTGGTGCATATTTTTGATTGATCATTCTTATCACAAATTATATTATCAGTCGAACGTACTGATTGTTTCTTCTGATTAGAATTATAATATCAACAGGGGGCATAAGATGCAAACAAAAGACAAAAATAAGATTGTCTACATAATGACTGACTTCAGGCAGAGATAAAGTAGAGTATATGGTATACTATGTGGTTATGTGGAGGAGGAGGAAGCGGTTGACAATGTATGACAACTGGCTGGAGGAGTCACATAGTGGGCGTAAAAAATTAATTAATCTATCTCAGGTGTCCCACACCTGGGATGATTCCTTCTTAGATTTTGTGAGGTCACGTTTCGATCCTCCGAATCGCCCCTTACTAGCTGTTCAATCATGTATTACATGTCTCACTGACATTGGTGGTTTTTACTAATCTATGATTGTCCATACTCTTTTGAACTAAATATTGAATAACATCGTCAGTTGCAGGTGAATTGAGATTCTTATTAAATCAATTTATTAATGTGATTAGAATTGATTATTCAAATGTTATAAACAAACGATAATTCTAGAATGGTCAAATCATAAACCAATTGAATTATGATAGTGTATATTAGATAGTAATACAATAATAAAATAATTTAATAAATGATATGATAACTGAATCTTTACGTAATTTATTTATTTACGTTAAATACTTTGTCTAAGTCTTTACTTTTTGCAAATTTTACTCAGTAAACAAAATATAGAGACTATAACTTGTAGGTGTTTTCAAAAGAATAGGGTATCTTGTATGTCTTCCTTGAATTGTTGCTAACTGCTCAGGTTGTTTAATGGTATTATAAAGAATCTGACATTATTTTTTAATTTACTCGTATAGTATAGATGTGAGCTTGCAGGTTTAGAACAATGTTTATAAACAGGGAAAAAGCATATTTTTAGTGTAGTCAGATAAAGTAAATCTCATTTGTTTATTTCCTGACATAACGTTTTACCTTCTTACACGTTCGCATATGTTTTATTTAATCTGTATTATATATTTTAAATATCTTTATTCCTGTTTATATGAACTCGACCACACACCAGTTTATATCTACGTGTACGAGTATTTTTATATTATATTATTTGTTGTGTTTACTTCCATTTTATGGATGCATAAAACATAAACTTTACATAGTATAAATAAAGTTGCTTCCGCTTTTTTTCTTTTATTTATTTAACTACGCAAAGGATTATAATGCAGTTTTTAGCAATAGATAAAGTTATTCAAGAGGACGATATATATGTAAAATATATATACATACAACCGTGCAAAACTGGGACTGATAGTAATTTAGTATAATTTAACAACTTAACAAGTTACGTATTCCAATGAATATTGTGTTACTATGTTTCTCGCAATTTCTCTCGCAGTTAACCATTCCTGTAGACGGGAAATGATTTATGCAATTTCACTTTCATTCTATATTGGTTATCGACATCCATTAAAATTAATCAATGTATTGATATATCGATAAGAATTTTCGTGATGTTTTTAGTTTTCAATGGACTACTAATGTTTTTGTCGTACTTTACTGATTTGTTACTTTGTTTTACTTTATTGGCCGTGAATCCGATCCTTTCACGATTCATGAATTTAAATAGATTGAAATATTTGATAGTATAGCCCGTGTAAACTTATTTAAGTTGTGTCTGTTGCTGTGAAATTATATGGCATCCGTAGCACAGGCTTTGCTACTTTTAGGACTAGATGGCTCTTTATGAGCGCTTGTTAAAGTTATTTTACTTGTTGTATACGTGAAATAACTTATATTGTAAGTAATATGATTAGGTAAGTAAATCTGAACGTTATACCGTTAGATAAGATAATACTTGATGTCTATGTGTTGTATTATTTACACAACTACTGAAAATAATGTTCAAAATCATTGCATCTGAATTTTATATCAAATGCTCCTTTAGAGTGTGTACCTGTAATTTAGGAATACATATAACTACTCGTAACTATTTTAATTGGAATGTCAAACAAGCTGACGGAAACCTGATAGAAGTTGTAATCGTCGCCTATATATTGGAACTCAGCACTCATATGTTGCCAAACGGATAAAAATTATAGCAGCCTGAGACGAGGTTCGAACCCCCTAGCGGTGTCCTCAGACTAAAGTCGTATCCGTCAGGCGGGAGTTAGCCTTCCGCTCCATAAGTTCTTCCGAGGTTTTGGACTGCCATCTGCACTCGCCTATCGTCTGTTGAAGCTGTAAAGGACAACTGCGGCCAACAGCATTAGAGTAGTCCGAAACAACATGTATTGCCATTCTGGAAGATTATGATTATACTTGAGACTAAAGTACTCTATGTAGGTATGACTTTCTATAAACCTCTGTTTACGTTGATATAAAAACTTCAGTATCGAGTATTACTTGTTTCAATAAAAAGTACTTACTGGACTCAGGTTTATTATAATAAAGGTGTACCTACAGTTTATAGATTTTTTTTCTATTTATTTGCTGAAATGTTAGTTGTAACTAGATATATTGTATTATAACACGTCCATGGTGTTATCTCTATGAGACAGCTCCTTTGTTTTCCTTTCTTAATAGTCAGGATTGTATAAAATAATTTTGTTTGGTTCGGGTTCACTGTCAGGTGAATGACCTGTTTGCAATTCTGGCGATTAAGTACACTCAGCATCACAGGAAATCATAATTCGAGATGTTATTAATTACAATTACTAATTGATTTTATTCATATTATATAAAATTAATTTGTAGAAATTCATTATAAAGATTTCGATTCGAACCCAATCTTGAATATTCATAGTCAGGTCTATGGTTAAGTATACAATGTACATATATTAAAATGGTATAGACTATGTTATATTTCCATCCCTGAAATAAACACAGACCTAAAAATTGTGACTTTAAAAATATTTTTAATCAGTACCGTTACTAACATACGTAGTATGTCTGTAACTATAATCATATCTTATGTATGATTATAAACCTAAATCGTTTAAAAAATGTTAGTATAAGTGCTTGATAAGGTGTGATAATTTACAATAAAATAAGATTTAAGTACCTACATAGAAACCAGATACAATGAATACACTTGTTTTTATTTATTGTAGATCTTTTTTCAAAGTAGTGGTTTTACTTTTTATAATTACGAAATTAGTATGTATTCAAAAAGTTACTTCACGTAATATCTTCTGATATTACGTGTTACGTAATTTATCTGTGTCTATATTTTTATAGTATATTTTGATATACTATAAAAATATAATATAATAGCAGGTATAAAGTGTTTACAAAAAAAAACAGTGTGTAAAACAGAATTTCCAAAAAAAAAGTTGAGCAAGTTTGATGCTGACTGTATCGATTACGACCGATGGTCGCGGGTTCGATTCCTCGCACGGCACAAACATTTGTATCAGTTGACTAGTTCAAAATACAAGCTCTGATTAGCTTGAAACTAGATGGCGCTGTGTGAATTGTCCTGAGAAAAAAAAAAAAAAAATTCCACCCGGTCTTGTAAATATGACCAAATCGTAAAATATATTCATATCGTAGTAGGTGTTTTTACTGAATTATAATGATATGATGTACCTTAATAATTCGTGCCTCCACTAATCATCTCTACAACATAATAATGATAATAATATCAAGTAGGATTATGACGTATAATGTCAGCAATTAATTTCGTAAGTTACTTTACGTAAGATTTACAAGATACTGTATCTTGTTAATATTATAAGCGTGGAAGTTGGTTTTTATTTAGTTTACTTTATTAGTTACTCTATCAGGCAATTACTATTGAATAGATTTTAATGAAACTTTACAATAAAATGGCTTATAGGTACATCACAATAACACATACCTAGGCTATAAATTTCACGCGGGTTAACCGCGAGCATAGCTATTTTATGAAAAAATGTATTTACGAACGTATGTATTTTTACATATAAACTTTCCTATTAAATAATAGAATACGTGTATATAAAAATATCTTAAAACAATCATGGATTTCAGAATTAAATTGTACATTCATAATTTATAAAAGATTATGTTAGTTTAACATAAATCATTTTAATTCTCCAGAACTGGAACGGGCTATAGCGGAGAGGGCACGTCGGCTAGAACAAGGCGAACAGAGCACAGATGAAATAGAACCTGGAACTAATCCGACGCTGCAGGAGGTGCGCGCGCGGCTGCGACATGCTGCATCGCCATCTCCTGCTGCTTCCGCTCATTAGTTCTATACCTATATAGTACCTTACATCAAATACATATTCTTACCTATTTTTAAGAGTATACCGAAGTCTAGTAATGTCTGCAATTTTTGTCAATTGTCACAACTTTACTTTCCACAGCTTGTTTTCATAAGTACAGAGTACAAGTGCACTTACATATATAGATGAACTTATATTCCTCGATTAATTTTAAAAATGTCTATAAATCTTAAATTGGCATTTTATTTCCACTTCACATCTGGGTATTTGTTTATATTCTATTTTGAAAGTATTGTATGATGGTTAAGTGGGAGTCGTTATATAAATATAATGTTTTATGTCACTATAAGAACATTTTTATAATAATCATAGTATGTGTGATTTTATTAAATTTTTACAGTTAAAAGAGATGTTATTAGATTTCCGGTATAATCAAATTACTGAACTTATATTCTTAGCTCATGATACTCGAGCTACATTAGTCAGTATACTGAGCTGCTTCCAATATTAATTCCTCAGTATATTTGCGTGTAATTAGCGCCATCTGTTGGTGTGTACATTTATTACATGTACACAATTTACAGAACTTGTATGCGACGCTAATGATTACACCCTTTCGACGTGCTTTTGGTACAGATCCTAAAGGGATACTGTACAATATTTTCTGGCTGTTCTAAGAGAAATGGTTTCTAAACGCATAAAATGAAACATGTTGCATTGAGACAAGCATTTTGTAAAGTGTGAAGAGCAAGTGTGGTTTATTGGTGTGAATGGCTTTAATTGCCAAAGCTTATTGTTATTATAAGTTATATTATTTTGTATTATATTATACTTTTAAGGCTATAACAATGTTTGTCATCGAAACTAAAACACTTTAATTGTCGCAAATAGTCGATTTATTTTTATCAAATATTATCTACATATATTAGGTATTTCGTTATGATATTTAACAGAACTATAGGGGAGTACAATATAGATATACGAGAGTGCAGATTACAGTATCTATGTACTGAATACATACAGCCTAATAATTACGTACCTATTCTAGAACAAATAATTTATTACCATATACCGTAATATTCATATTCAAGGTTAATTAATTGTCTCTTGATTTTTAAATATAGAATAGTAGATATTCATAAAAAAATATGTTTACAATGATTTGTATGCTTACCCTAAATTAATTAGCTTTTTCTACTATCTACTTATGATGTGGCAAAAATCGACTGAGGGCTCGACTGCATGAGATATATTAATAAGGGTAAATGTCGACTTGAACAGAAGAAAAAAATATTTTTCTAAACTTTTTAACGTCACAAACCTTGACATTTCGTACCTAGTGAGTACTTAGTGTTTATTTGTAAGCATTTACTGTTCTCGTTAAACTTCTGAATACATGTCTATACTTAGATTATATAGATATACCTATCGATGTAATCCTCGTGAAATATTTTATTACAATAATTGTAGAAAGTAAATAGATGTTGGCAATTATAGAATATATGATTTAGATTATATTACATTATATTCATATTTTAATGACAGAGTAGAAATCTTAGGAATGTTGCCGAGAAAATAGTGACTTTAATAAATAGAAGACCACTCATATCGACATCTATGTAATGACAGTAGAAGTCGAGAATATATCTATGTATGTTATGCACCAATAATAGTTGACCAGTACGTTTGAATCAGAAGTGTTCAATATAAGTGATAGATGAGAAATATTTTTGTATATTTATGTAATATCTGTAGATTGTAGATCAATTGCCTATAGTGTTTCAGTCTTACTCACAGGACTAATACTAACGGTTCACAATAATTGGTATGATATTAAATATATATTTGTTACAATTTAGGAATCTATATATTGTATCGAAAAGATTGCCAGATTCAGATTAATCATACAGACTATCCTACAGGATAAATAAATTGTAATATACAATTTCTATTAGCCAAAAGTGCTCATTAACATTTTTTGTAATGAGAAAAGAGAAGTCTATAATGTCAATATACGAGTATGTGTTCTAGTGTACATAAAAATTTTAAATAATTTGATCATAACATACTTCGAATATAGCGAAACATAGTCGTGAGTCAAAAATTTACTGAATATCACTAGACACACAATATCTCAGAAAATATTTCCGATAGGCATAAGTCTCATAATTTTGAGATTTTTGTATATTTCCTGGTTATCTGGCAATCCTAATGAAAGCCATAATTGAAAAGTGCAATAAACTAAGTCGGTATATTGATTTTATTTTGACAAAATAAATAATTTGATGTGTAAAGATAGATATTATTATGTACAGCTTAATGAAATATAATTTCAATATGAAATTTGTGAGTCAGAAGAGATTAACAGACAGTTACATATAATTTCGCAGTAACTAAAATTATAATTAACCTATTCCTAGTCAGGTCACAGATGCTTTTTGAAATTATAGGTTTTAATTTTGCATTGATTTATTTTCACAATGCCAAATATAAGCATAATAAATAGTCACAAATATGTATGAATAATTACTGGATTGTGGTTATTTCTCTAAGGGATTCGGAATTATACATTACAATACAATTAGTAAAATAAGTAAATAGTTTTAATTTCGATATCGATTTGTTATTTATTTAAGTATTCATCTATATATTCATCAAATAGTTTGGTACCGTTGAAGATAAGATACCACTTATTTTTATTTAATATTATCTAAAAGTCTAAATATTTAATAATACTTCTACGATGTAGATCCATCAGTCCCTATTTTTTTATGAAAACTATCTTAATAAATGTCAAATTTCGTTCTCTCCATTGTGCCTATTGAATGTTGTTTATTTTCAGAGTATTAGTTATATATGGTTATAAGGTAGATTTTATATAGGATGACGATTCTCACTAAGATGTGTAGCTTACTAAAATTACTAAGGAAAAACACCATTCCACTTGTTATTCGTTCACTTGATCGTTTGTTTTTAACAATATATTACTTTTATATGTATGTATTACTTTGAAGTTAATACCTACTGTATCTTAGTACAAAGTGGCGTCTTCTTATGAAGAATATTTGTGCTCCAAATCCGGAAGCTGTCATTATCGTGGCCATTTGTGTTGGATATTAAGTAGTATTAGGTATTTTACTCTTTGTAATAAATGTTCGACCATAAAGCTGTATCAGAACTAAATGATTTGCATAGACAAATAAAAATGTTTTAGCGTACTGGTTGTCTCATTACAAAATATATCCCACAAAAACAATGCTTACCACCAAATGCATAAATGTTAAAGTCTTATTATTATGAACTAAACATTACAAGATACATAATCTTCTAATATTCTAATAAATATTCTATATCTTTGAGATTGTTATTGAATTTCGAATTTTGTCTCTCTCTGTATAAAACGGGGTTGCAACGACGTTTACAAATGTTCCAATATGTTATAATATATGAAAATCTCTACCTACTATGTCCTTTACATATAATGCTTAGAATAGATCCATGTGGTGACAGCGCACGAAAACCACATGTTACCAGTCATATTCATTGCCATGACATCATAAGAGGAGATTATTATTAATCCTCTATTGCAAAAAAAGAACAATCTAAACCAGTAGTAGTCACCATAGTATATATTACGACTGATATAAAAGAGATTGTATGTATAACTTTAATTTACATCAAATTGAAATAATAATAATAATAAACGGAGCAGCATCTCGACCCAAGCTGAGCAAAGCTTGAGTTACGGGTACTAGACAACTGATATAAATACATATTTCTTAATAAATTATTAATAACACACATATGAAACGCCTAGATCAATACATACAAATATATACTTTAATAGAATGTTTGTACTGTGAGAAGAATCAAACCCACGACCATCGGAAGTAAGGCGGTGTGCAAAACCGCTAGACCATCGATGAGTCAATTTCTGCAATACTAGGCGTAAGATAAGGCAATGATTTATCAAAAACAGCCTGAAGCTTATTGCGCACCTAGCATATTGTTACAGAAAAGAGATAATTCTTGGCCTAATTGGCGTAATTGGATAGTTCTTTTTAAGGAATTGCAAAAGAATAGTAGTTTTCTTTTATAAAATTTAATCATATACATTTTGTTAGTTTTGACAGATTGCCTACATTTAATGTGTAGGCGCGTGCGGTCTTCCAATTGGCAGTCTGCATCCCTCAGAATGGAGTAAATATACGTAATTATCCGAAGTTAAAGCTAGGTATTTAAAATTTATGCTTGGTTTGAACATGAAACTCATTATTAAATATATGTGTATCTATTTACTTGTATAAAACTCCATAGTTTCTGTTTTTTTAAATAACAAATTATTAAAAAAAACAGAAATTAATGTTCATTTTGTTTAGCTAGTTAGATAGTCGTATCTTACATCAGTTATTATGCCAATTAGCTGTCTAAAATAGGTAGTCATATACCTACTTGCTATCACCAACATGGTTTGGTTGATTTCTAACGAGCGTTTAATTAAAGTTTCGATGACGGAAGACATACTAGTAAATGACATGAAAAACTATTAAATGTTTGCAATGCATAATAATGAATAATTGTAATAACGTGATTTTTTTTCAATAGAACACTCTACCAATGAATAATTAACCAGGCGAAATTTATTGAGTTCCTCAAGCGTGAAACGCTTTCGTTTTCGTAGAGGACGGGAGTCACGTCTACTGGTGGTCGCTGAAGTGCACTACCCCTTGCGATTTCGAAGCACCGAGTACTCTCGTGTCCCTGCATTCAGTTACTTCTCGGTGCCTATCCAGAGCCGACGCTCTCGTACAATGTAAATTGTGTGTCTTCTCGTACCAGTGAACATTGCAAATATGTATAGCAAAAAGTTGTGTGTTGCGATAATTGTACTATTAGTTTTTCAAGAATTTACTGAAGGAAGAAAATCTAGAAGAAATCCAAGGCCTAAAGCTATCGAAGATACGACTCTACAGCCCAGCGTTGTTTCTTATTCGACTTTTGGGTTTAATGATGTTGGATCATTTGATGGTTTTGTTCCTACTTCACCAGACTATGCAAATTACCTTACCAATATAAATCAAGAAACATCCACCAGATTATATGCCCCGGCATTTCCTACTGCGTTAGACAATACTGGATTTAGTAGTAATTCTGATTCACAATCTGATGGACAATATTTTACTAGTTCTGATCACGGAATATTACAGTCTAGTATGGTAGAATATCCGAAAAATATACATTTTTATAACACTCCTTCTTTTGATGAAAATTCTAATAAAAATTTTATTGCTAAAGGCACATTTAGAGGTGTTTCTGAAGAAAATGATTCTCCTGTATATGGGACTAAACTGGGTTCGAAAAGTAAGAAAATGTTAAACCAATTTAATGACACTGAATTCAATATATATACTAGCGCAGTCATAAGTCCTAGTGATTTGTCATCAAATTTTAATTTCCACTATGGTCAAGGTATATCTGAGAATAAACCGTCTTTTGGTGAGTCACCTAATAATTATCATATTAATCCGGGCAATATTGGATCTCGTCCTATTGATCAGTCTACTAATCTAGATGATTTTGACAAACCAGAGGCCAGTAGTAGTCATGGATCGTTAAAATTTCCAAAAGTTATTGATTTTACTAAAATGAGTTATCCTGTTGAAATAGGCAATAAATATATTTCGGGTTCATTCAATTCGAATAAAAATAGTGACAAAGACAACTCTAAGAATGAACAAGAAGTCAAATACAGTGAACAAATCAATAAATTTACGCATAGTGCTCCAATGTTTAAAGATTCACAAACTTACACTAGAAATCATGAAAAAAATATCGAAAAACATACATCTTTTAATCAAGACTTTTCTGATAACTATGCAAATTCTTCACCAGTTAAAACAAATTTCAAGGAGATTATCTCAGAACAAAAAAATAAAATGAAATATTTCAAAGGCAATTTCAGTACCGAAGATAAAGCCTTAAATCCCCAGAAGGGTTACGAATATTCAACTAACTTTAGTAATACTAGTTTTAAATTTGATTTTGTTGAACCAAAGAAACCATTTAGTACAGATACAGATGAAGTAATCCCCGCAAGTAGTAACGTCGTTGATTTAGCACATTATCAATTTCCTGAAATAGATTACACACGTTTTAAAAAAATACCGGATATTAAAACTCATTATGACTATGATTATAATAATGCACTATCACAAACAAATAAAATAAAGCCAACAGAAGACTTAAATTATTTTAAAAATTTACATGGTTCTTTACCGGCATCTACGACAAACTGGGGGAATGTTTTTAAATCTACAGATTATACCACTTATAAGAATCATGCAAGAAAGCCTGTTCAACTCGATGATATCACAAGTGATATTGTCCATATACCTAAAAGACCTCACAGTTCCAAATACAGTAATAACAAAGACATTGAATATACATCAAATGATTTATCTAATTCAAAAATTAAATCCTACAATTCTAAACTCAAATTAGGTAAGGAGTGGAATTCAGATATGTACAATTATAGATATAAAACCGAAGAGGATTTATTGGGTCTCAGAAACCATGATACATCGCATCCATCATACCTTCCAACATTTAGACCTAATGCAAACGAGCTGTCGGATGATAACGAATATTATAAAAAATTAGTAGAAAAATGGAGACAGTCTTACTGGAAATCTAAATTTAAGAATTCATATCCCGACTATGAGAGCTATTCTACAGAAACAAAACCAGTTCACGTACCTATACCGAAACCTTATCCGGTAAGTGACATTTATTTTTCCTTAATGGATAGGTATAAGCGTCAGTATTGAAACTTATATACACTAAGTATGTTATGTATCTAACTATTAGTTATTATGTATCTAACCATGATTAAAAGACCATCTTTATAATTATGTAGCAAAAAATTGATATGAAAGAATGCGGATCGGAAAAGCAGACGGCGTACGTCGCGCACTAATTTCCTCGCTTACCTACTATTTACTGGTCAGTAAAATGATGCGTGTTCAACCTGCTCAGAGAAATCATGATATTATGTTCCTCTACTGCAGATCCAATACTTCAAAGGTTTTTAAATTAGTTTGGCTGCTAGAAATAGCAATAGCTATATGACGGCAATGACAGATACAATTTCTGAATATTAACATAACTTAGGTAGATATTATTACAGAAAAGGTAACTGACTCTAGTAATGATAGAAAGTGACAATCGAAGTTCGAAAGTTATTGAAGTAAGTACTAACAAATCGACGGTGTAACTGGCCTTTATACAGAAATAATGAATCCATGGACCTGCAAGTGGTCATGGTACATTAGTTTCGACTAAGTCTAGAGTGAAAGCTAAGGGATGGTTATAAATCAGCATATCTGAAATAGATTTTATTTTACTATGTATGTTTTTTAAGGAGAATCAGCAATCAATACCAGTAATTATGGTTATCTACTGGTTTCTAAACTATCGAGAAATGTTATATAGACACGCGTTCTGGTTGTTTACTTATATTAATCAGTCCGATATATTACAATGCATAATGTAAAATATTAAACGTCTAAATAACCCATATCACTGTAGAACTTGAAATATATGTATATACATTCTCCATAAAATAATGATTAAGTACAGAGATCTTATTTTCCAATACTTTTGGGTTTATATGTATATTACTTACTGTGTATATAGTGTATAATATGTATTTCGGCTGCGGATTTTCATTTATTAAACTATAAATAACCGTGTAAGTATATTTAAATTGGCATGCATGATATAGCACTTCTATACAAATGATATTCTTCCTCTTTTATTCTTCATTGGCATGTTTTATAAATATTATGGTATGAAGCAGAAATGACTATGTCCAGTACTGCTTTCAGCCTTGTCATTTAAAACCTAGACAGGGTAGGAGGTACTCTTCATATTTTGTTCTCTAATATAATATAGACAGGACCCACCTCTCCAAAACCCGTTAATGCAATACGTCATCTATAATATTTTAATGAAACGGTGATTAAGGTTAATGTTTCAAAAAAATGTACAGATGTATCTACCAAGGATAAAAAACAATCATACAGACAATGAATTCAAATGGTTCGATATTTAGTTGTTCATTGTTTCTAAATCATAACGGCTTAAAAAAGAAGTACCGCCCTGAAGAAGAAGACGACTGGTGATGGCTATTGTGTTCCAGATAGAAGTTCCTCATCCAGTGATAGTGCCGGTGCCGCAGCCATATCCGGTTCGGGTTCCGGTACCAAAACCCGTTGCGGTTCCGGTTGTGCGACAAATCACTGTACCTATTGAAAAACCAGTGCCTTACCCGGTCATCAAAAAGGTTCCATATCCCGTAGAGAAGCCCGTTCCCGTACCAGTTGAAAAGGAGGTTAGTGCTTGATGCGCGAGGAATTAGCGAACGTAACAATAGCCGTGTCACCTGATGACTTTACTCGGAGCGAAGTGGATTTCATAGGAATTACTGACATATTGCTAGTAATAAACAAAGTCAGGTCGACGTCCACGCGGTCTCTCTCTACAAATGATTGCGGTAAATGCCTGCTCAATTCGGTACAGTGGGCTAGCTGACTTGACTTAATTCTTATTCCATCATCTACAGAGGCCCTGCCAGCGAATACCGTTAGTCACAGACACATCAACATTTTATCATCATCCATTAAACAATAATAGTTATACAAAGTCGTGCGTGTATATAAGTAAGTATCCATAATGTATACCTACTTTATTTTATATCTCTTCAGATTAGTGATGATTATTTTGTCCGCCAAGTGAGTTATTAGTGTGTCTCTCAATAAATCTAGGGTACAGATTATAAATTTAATTAAAATAACAAGCCGTGACAAGTATTTTAATTAAAATACTAATTTTATTTATTACGATAAGTTTTCTGTTGTTAATTCCCAGCAATATATATTTGTTTTAGTAATTAAAATTGCATTATTAACAGTTAATTATATAACATAATTAACAAATGTGCTTACATAACTACAGTACAGACTAAACATATTTACAAAATTATCTACTTATATTATGAAAGTAACGATTGAAAATATTCAATGTGTAATGGATAGTAACGGTTTAAATTACCACGTACTTGTTAACTGCGCGGAGCATATAATAAGTATGTACATATTAGAAAAACCGACCGATAGTATAGGCATATGATCATAATGTTGTTTTTCGTTGAGTTAATTTAGAAAGCGATTTTTCTAAACTCTTATTATATTATCAAAACGGATTTACCTAACTTAAGAATTGTATAAACTATTATTTCAGATTTATCATCTGTTTCGTGTTGTCACCATACATTTGTATATCTATAAATTTTCGAAAATTAAATGCATGTACACCTATTGTACCTATTGCTTTCACAGGGATTTTATTCATGACAGTTTCTTGTTTCCTCTACGACTAAAAACTTCACAAAGCAGTTAGACGCATGACTAGATTCAAGGGAAGACGTTTTTCTCTGCCATCTATCTGGTTTTGTTTCTTTACATTTGTACAATTATAATTAAACTAAATTGCATGACTGATTGTTGAGATGTATAATTTGGTCCAAATACTATTAATAATTTAATGTAAAAAACATAAATATTTGATTTAATATCTTATGACAAAACAATGTAGCTATTAAACATTCTACGCAATTAAGAATTAATTGTTTTTGTTGTAATTAATGTATTTATTTACTTACTTTATATGAGAGTAATACGTTGTGAGCATATAAGTTGTTATGACGGCCGTTTCAATTATTGTTTTATAGTCTCAATCTAAATATTTATTATCGATGTACACTTTTTATAAAGTCATCTGCCTGGGTATATCTATGTCACTTATTTCAGTAACGCCTCTAAGTAACTTTTTTGTGTTTCGTTTGAAGGGGTATAAGGCAGTGGACATTATGGAATACAGGGGCAATACATTGTATTCTTACAATATAGTATCGCATTTGAGGTAAGTACTAGGGTTCTTGGATACAGTTGACACTCACGATGGTGAGTGTCAACTGTATCCAAGAAAGAAAACAAACAAACTGACGGCCCACCTGATGAGGTGGGCCGTCAGTTTGTTTTCTTCTCAAATAAAAAGACACACAGGATTCGTCAAGACCTTGAGTTTGAACAGCCGATTGAATCATCTTTCTTGCTCTTAGAGTATTTTATGAATATTTACCTTTTTATTTTTATCTTACGACAACCTAATCTGGTCTTAATGAACACAGTGCTCCATAATAAAATATTCTAATCTGGTTAGTATTTTTATTATAGTAATGGAAACTGGTGGATAACTACAGAGTGACATTTAGATTTACTCGTGATCATAGAGACTGGCTGTGAAAATTTAATATGTTTATGTAACATATGTTATATATCTGATTTTTTTTATTGCCATCTGGAAGCACTACAAACCGATAAGTGGGGTTTCCTTTATGGGCATAGACACTATATACGGGCATGAGAAACAACGTGGATTAAGTATATGACTACATATTACACTACAGTTTAACACATTACGACGTGAATAACTTATTTTGTATAATTAGATTTTTATATACAATAAAATCAAAGTCCAGTAAGTCCATCAAACAGTACATCCAATATCGATCCAAGATGGATGATATTTCAAGTTTACTCTGATTGTGTGTGCGGAAATAACTTAAAAACGGCGTCACCAATTGTTAAAGTATAGAATACATAAATGGCCAAATATTTTTGTAAATGATAGTGCTGAAAAATACATGGAAATTTTAATTCGTGAAATATCCGTTTACTATATTTTTTTATTACAAATGTCGCATTGTAGATAACAATATTATTTACACAGGTTCAGGTTCCAGTGATGCAACCGTATCCTGTCCATATTCCACATGTCAGACCCGTATTTCATCATTCGAGACCACCCCGTGAAGAATTTGAATCCGATGTCCGCAATGAGGATGATGACGATTACTTCCCTCGTCCGGAAGGCAACAAAAAAACGTATCCATACAAGAAAAAGCCGAGAAGGTAAGAGCTATTCATATCTTCTAGCTGGTACCTGGGGCATCGCAGCCACTGAAGAAATATTTGATTTAAGCGTACAATTATTATAGACAGACATACAAATGACAGTGCGTAAAAGTTATATGTATATTTTATATTTTAACAAGCTGACCCACACAACTTCGTCAGCGTCACTTTTTATCAGTTTTTGCAACAGTCTTTATTGCAGTTATCTTAGCAGTAGTATAGTATTAGTCGCAGTTATACGTACATAGATAAATATAGTATTCATTTATTATCTAGTATCTAAAATAAAGGTACCTTGAACTGTCACTACATTTCATTTGTGTTATGTATTATTACAAAATAATGATTCGCGTGTTAGATTACGTTCGTGTGTACTGCACAGTTCAAAGCCTTATGATAATGATCTGTTTTCAGCACGCGTAATAGAACCCACAGACCAACACGCACTACTTACAGCACAGCCAAGAAGAGACCAAGACGCCCCGCAGACTACCGCACCAGAAGGCCCTCTTCTACGCACGTGGACTTCCATTATTCAGCACCGTACAGACACAGTGATTACGATCAGGAACAATTTGATGAAACTAGTGATTATTACTCCTATTGCAAAAGAACTGGAAACTGCTAATTGTCCTAGTGCTGGTCTTTCGGGTATAACTTGTGTAAATTAAATTCGTTTTACTATGATTGGAGAGACCTTTGTAATTTAATGAGCACGGCTCGTGACGTCTGTCTTTAGTCGATTTTTTATTGTTTTAATTCATTATTTTCGTCTCTCTCTCTTTACGTTTACGTGCTAATATTTAAATTTCTATTTATTAATAATTCATAGTAGATATTGCGACTGGCATTTAAATTACTTGTTAAATAATATTATAGCATTTGTTGATTGGTATTGTATAATTATATTAAGGTTGATTGATTACAAGAGATTGTAAAAATATATTTAAGTTAAGGAAAATTGATGTCTTTTAATGCATAATACTACAATTTTTGGGAAAGTTCATCTCTACATATATGTTTTTGTTGTGGATATGAAGTCGTTTTCCATTGCATCTACTTGTATAGGTAGAACTCTTGGTAGGTACCACTGTCTTATCTATTTTTAAACCGTATCGTTAAACAGTATTTGATGCATTGTTTTATTTTAGTTTAAATCGATGCCCATTAATGGATTATCTGTTAAAATTTCATAATACTCTAATGCCAGTAGGATGTGCATAACGAAGATGACAATTCTATAATGGCTTTGTTATTATTTCAATGTTTACATAATCAACAATGGTTACTAATTAAGATCGAGTGTGTTTTTCCTTCACAAACAGAATAAAAAAGTATTTTTCTAACTTATAACGTATAAGTAAACATGTAATTGCTATTACAGAACAAATGCACCTGACAGTGTGAATACAGAAACAGAGATCAACGGCCATGCAGTTTCGCATGGACGGCTGCTTTTACCAACGCTCCGATTAACAAGTTTGTGCGTGAGCACTCTTATTACTCTTAGACATGGCATTCTTCTTAGTTCCCATATTAGTATCTAGTATAGTAATCTCTGGCATAGTTAAATATCTGTAGTTGCGCCTAAATGCCTGTGTTGTTACCGTATTTGTATGCTATTATGAACATAGTAATTAATAACACACATGTAGTCAATACCATTACCTATGAAATCTTTTTTGTGGGTTAACATACAAGGAAGTTTTTAATTAAATACTATTTGACACTAATAGTCAAAACACAAATAAAAGAACAATACAGATATATATGTTCTTTAACAATACATAATACTATATCTATTTCTATACACATACCATTAAATGCTTTCAATTACAATCTCTGATTTAGTAAAATGTTAACTTACTTTTACAATTCGTCTCTTGATTATTCAGTGATTGAAAGACAATACGTATCAATCAAGGTCTACCCTAATAAATAGGTAATTATTATGACGTAAACTAACTTACGTCAATAGTAAATCGTACCTCATTATAACTCTGAAGGTTATCATTACCATAATTTTAATCAAAACTGGTGCGCAGTGTATATAACATAGACAGTTTTAAAAACAATCCATTTTTGAATCCAATTTAACGGTCTCAGCCACCGTTAAATTGGATTCAGCAGAATATGGCGATGATACGAGATGGCTTGTTTTTGTCAGCAGAATACGCCACAATCATTTGCAAAGATGTTAGAATTAGATAACATCAACACCACATTTCCATGAAGCTTACAATATTCTTCCAAAAACTATACATTAAACTTCTTCCTGCTCTAAATCCTATTTAGTATTTGGACACAAAATAAAATTCAAAGCAACTCTAGTGGTAAGATTTTATTAATAGTCAATTTCCAGTGGTTCCAGTGGTTAGTTGATTTTTTATACCATAATAATTGTAGCAATAAAGCATACGGCCGATGGGCGCACAAAACACGGCAACAAGTTACCATCAAATGTGACGGTAAAGTGTTGCCGTAGCCTACAGATGACTGAAACAGCAGTGGTATCATGTGCACGTTGTTGACACTTTACTACTTTCAGAATAAGGATGTCTAATTCTCAGTTAATGCCAGTTCACGGATTGGAAATTCCGTGACCCTTTACATTCTATGTCGCCCAATTCATCTTTGTAATAGATACGATGATATCTACGCAAATCTTGATGTAAGCAGCTATTATTTATTATTCAGCTCTCTTTATTAGATAATTAACAATGAAATAATACCTTATGTTTCAATTGTAATGCAAACTATATATGAAGTCAAGTTCACTGTTAATGTCACGATATTGTGCCATGTACGTTAACTTCTATAATATTGTTTAATTTTGCTACATAACAAAATTCAATTAAGATCCACTTTTTGTAAATTAATTTACCCAGTCAAAATTGTCATTCTTCAATTAACTAGAAAATAATTACTATGGGAATTAGGTTTCTAGAATCACCTTTTTCCGATAGCCCAATTCATCTTTGTAATAGATACGATGATATCTACGCACATCTTGTGGGAATGTAAGCAGCTATTATTTATTATTCAGCCTCTTTATTAGATAATTAACAATGAAATAATACCTTATGTATGATCAGATTTCTTAATGATACTTTTAATTTATATGAAACAATGCAAACTATATACTGAAGTCAAGTTACGATCTTATCTAATATTAAAATTACAATGCGAAATTGTTTTGCTAACGTTAAATCACTGTAAGCAAATAAACGACATTTATATAGCCAAGATGAAATCATGGATCATGTCTACAGAACCCAGTTAATGAGAACATTATATGCTTTTCCATATTTTTGCTACGTAAATCTAGGTTTCTAGTTGACGCAAATTGAAAAAATATATTCATATTAATTACATACCCACGTTGAAAAAACAAATACTTAGAAGGTAAACCAATCTAGTATTATAATAACAAAAGAACTATCAAGTACCTAATGTAAGATAATTAAAGTAAATCTAGAGATAGGTAAATAATAACCAGTCTGTTTGACGATAGGGATCTATGCTTTTTCCTGTCTACGAGAAGAATATTATAAGGTAAATACCTAATCTAAACAATATTATGTAGTAGGTACGTATTATAAATGCAATAGTGTGTGTCTGTATATTTGTAACTTTTTCACGATAACTAGATGACTGCATGAACACGAACAAGATGAATATGAAGATAGAGCCTATGGCATCAGGGTATATCAGGGTATATATATATTTTTTTTAAGATAAAAGATATTTATCTAAAAAAAATATGGTAGGCGATTAAATAAGGCATAAAAATTATGTGGAATTAATAATTCCTTAATGAAGAATTAAACACTCATCACAACAGATGCATAGACCTATTTGTGCACAGTATTTTTTATAATAATTGTGTATTAAAAAATACTGTGCACAATTAGTCTGAGCTGTATTTATGTGTTATGAACATATAACCATAAATAATAATTACTGTATAAATTTATTTCATATTACAATAGTAATATGAAATAAATTTTATAATAGTAGTAATAAACGAATAATTTTGAATGCACTTGAATTCATATCGAATTATGAATTACATTATCGCTATATATATATTGTTACATCTCTACCAAAATTAGTAACATCCACACATAATTTTGTAGTAAAAAAAACTCTTCCATTGACAGACAGGGCAGATCGCCTGACAGAAATTTTTACGCAATTCATGCATGCTTATTGTAAAATATTGCTATCATTGGTTTGTTACACACATGTTCGAGTAAACTGTGGCATACAAATATTAATTTCTAAGGATGTAGTTATGTCCTCATTTCGTAGTATATTTTGCTATTCAGTGTTCACTAGATAGATATACAAAAAGATTTATTTTTCTAAATTTACAATCATTGTTCTACAAAACGTTTAGACGTTTTACAAAGGATACTACGTGGGTTGCGACTTACACTCAAAATGGAAAACACTAAAAAAAGTAGAATCGTTATGATTTTTAAAATCAAACAAGATGAGCCCATCAAAGACAGCTTACTTACAAAGAAAGCAGCGTCCTTACTAGTTTATAGCATTGTAGTGAAGTTAAATAATAGTACCAATCAATTGAATTAGGGGTCATGGTCAGCGGTTGTTGCTCACGAGTTTAGTTTCGACTTTTGTTAAGTTTTTGGCCTTTGGATGACACCTTTCCCACAAGTACACAAGGTCTTGGACTAGTGTATGCATTTTTTGAATATTTTTGTAACTATTCTAAGTTTGTTATGATATGATAATGTATACAAATGGTAATTATTGTAATTAAGCAAATCTCGGATAAACGTAACCAAAAAAGTTTGTGATTCTTGAATTTACCTATTCAAAATGCTTTTACGATTTATGCCCTATTAACATATTAACGTTAGAAGTACAGCTGCATTATTTATTGAAAATATCGTACACTAAATATTTTTTCCATATGTGTACATACTTCTATAGATATAGAGATATACTTATATAGATTATAATATTATTGGGGAGAAGGGGATTGTTAGTAAAATTTATTAATCCACATTACTCAGGTCAGTCAGGTTGACCTCCACGCGGTTTCCCTTGGAAACCATCATGTCAAATTTCTAGTGAATTTAACGCGATGGGCTAACTGACCTGACCTCGTCTTATCATCCTCCACTGGTGCCCCGCTAGCGTACTATTCCCTTATCATCCATTAAAAAAATATCAGTATTAAAATCTATAGCTATCTATTTATTAATACACATATTCTTAGAGTCTTCACATCATCGTCGTTTGTTTGCTGTTTAGTTGTTTGTTTTTTTCGTTTAAATATAGAAGTCTCTCATTTGTATTTTAAGAAACTGATAGTCATCTTACATCTATTATTATTATACTTATAAAAAAGAACTGATGTATTGACTACGAACCACAAACTTTAACATAAACGTGATACATGACTCATTCAAAATAGTAAACTTTGTCTACGGATATTAACATCCAATTTGTTAAGTACCATTGTCATTTTGGATGGGTTTTTCGAGTGATTTGTAAAATTACCATATTAGTGTGTATCCATTGAGCGGATGTACCGGTCATGGGATGTAAAGTAAAACCTTGAATTATGCGCGACGAATTCACAACATCGCACCCGTGCAGGCGCCCAATTTGATTTTACATACGTACATACGTGACAGCATGCATTATAGTGCCAGTCTATTGATGACAATAGTACTGTTGCTCAATTCTATTATAGTTTCGTTTTAATTGGACTTCAATTTACATCTATTACATTTTGACTGAGTAACAAGTTTGAATTTCATAGAGCGAAATTAAATTTTCATTGACATTATAGTTCAAATTTGATACTTATCAAACTATTAGTTATATCTTTCGGCGTTGCCTGGGTGGAATATAAGCATTTACTATTTTTTAAGTTACATTACAAAGAAAACGAGAAATCAAAACTTTTATATTATTCGTATAGGACTACTGTACAATATACATATACAAACAAATACTGGAGAAATAACTTTAATTGTTAGTATCTATTTCTTTTGGAGCAACTAAGTCGCTTAAATAATAAAAAAGCAACGGTGTTGTCAGAACAAAAATTACACGAATATCTCATTCAAACGACTTATTAATTAATTGGGATAGACAGATGCCTTCGTTCTTCTTCGTCCCATATAACGCATTCTAAGTTATATGACTACTAGCTAAATCGTTAAGGGCTGAAGAAGTAACAATCATAATCCACCTACAAAGTCAGTTTCATATTAGTATATTTTATTTATAGATTATAATGGAATGCTGCTCCCGCCTGCACTAACGGTATACCTACACGTTGGAGGGTCACCAGTGGAGTTGATAGGATGAGCATAAAGTCCAAGGTACAGGCCTCCCGTGTGGAGGGTGAACCTAACATGATACTGTTGCTACAAACGGAACCACTCATTCTCATTTCTGACATTATCTTCCTCCCCCCGCCACATTAATATTAGGATTATATGGAGTTTATAATGTGTATAATTAAACATTTTTGTTTAGCGGTGAATTTTGGTAAAAGCAAGCAAGCGGTTCATTTTTCAAAGTATTATGTATACACATATAAAAGCTGCCAAGACCTCGAACTGTTTAGTCTGAGAGCGCGGCCCCGTAGAACCGGTCGCCTGAACCATCGGTTGACGCTCAATCACTTGCACGTAAGTCGTAAGTTATATAGTGCATGCATTAAATCTCGCTTTCAACACCTAGGAGTCGTCAATTCAATAGAGCCTGCGATTGCAAAATATTGTGATGAAGGTGATTCTATACACCTATACCTATAACTTATATAAATATTCTGGAACGTGGTATACTTTATTGAAATTTATATAGGCATTGTCCTTATTGATTTTTTCATTAAAATAATGACATAAAGGTACAAAGTCGAGGCTTTTACCTTTGTTGGTTCCGTGCTCCATGGTCATCACACTACTTTATGTCTTATGACAGGTGTTATGGAAATGTATAATTGTAGTGTAATTTCAATTAGGTATTATCTGTGCACGTGATTTATATATAAGGCTTATTGTGTGTTCCGGTCACCGTAGTTTTTTATTTCTTAAAGAACTTACATGGAGCAGTTGAAAGTTTATGCGGGTTCATAATTATATATTTTATACTTACTGGTCAGTTAAATAGCAAAGTTTTTTATATTATTTGTATGAGTATGACAAATTTAATAAAATAAAAATATTATATTTTTCACAATAGTAGGAACAGAACAAGAGGACAATACCAGAAGGTATTTTATATTATATTAAAAATGTATGTACTATTCGCAGAATTTTAAATTTTATTGAACATAAGACTGTAATGGTTTCAAATATAGTACATAATGGACTCCCACGAGATTTCAAATATTCTGATTGGCAAATAATCACGAAGGTCCTTTTAAATACGGCTCGACTTTATTTTTATTTTGGATAATTGGTCTATTTTTTTAATTGTTTGAGAAATACTGTAAATATAATTTAGCTATTAATCAATCTATACTTATTTGATAATAACATATTTTATCCTTAGGGAAAAATCACTTTGAAGTAAGATTACGTATATAAATAGATACTAAAAGTATGATACATTTTATTTCTACACAGAACGTTGTGATTTTATAAATTGTCTTGTTGAATAATTTGAAGTTATTGAGGAAAACTTAATTATATAATAGTCTGATGCAACTAATATTGATTCATATAATAAGAGTAAAAGATTATTTGAAATGAAAATTAAACTATCCAGCACGCGAGGCGTCTCAATGCTCAGTGGTGTACTCACCGTAATATGCACCGTTTTAAAAGTTATTTTTATATCTCATAAAACTCGTATTTAGCAGATAAATGTATTTATAAACATTCATTGCAAACAGTAGATACATGTGAAATTATTTCGCGACTAAAAGTCATATCTATAATTGTTGATTTATGAGAGGCATTAAACTCTTAGGTGAATATACAAATATCTGTATAACGGAAGAGGATAAATATTTTTTAAATAGTTTTATTCAAATGATTTGTCAATAACAGAAGTAGATTATGTCATCTGCGTTAGTAAAACCCAATAGTACATAGTTAATAGTCTATATTAGTGGGTTTCTCACATACTTTACTTATTATAGTCATTATTACTGACTTTTTATAATTATTGTAGATTGGATTTCAATTTTTTTTTATTAAAAATTACAGTTGAAAGGCTTTTCGGATGATGTAATAAAAATATATTAGCACCGATTGTACAAGTGTTGATCAGATTATCTAAAGTTTATAACAAAATTGTTTGAAAATAAATATAGAAAAAGGAATTTGTCGTTCAATTTGAAGAATCTAAGTGTACGTAAAGACTGAGACAAAAAGATAGTTAATATAGTTCAAAGGTATAACATCGTTCATATGTACTTAGTCAAGACACGAGATTGAGAAAACTAAAATTTAATTTGCCCATATTATAACCTTTTCGATGCAATAATTACTATTTAAATATAATAAAACATCTGTTCTCGTGACTCATATAAAGTATACTTTTAACAATTAGCTTATATTTATATTTTTGTAACTGTAATCTTTGTTAAGGTAAAGTTAAAACTGTTTAAATAAACAATTTTAGTATGCTCAACTGTATAGTTGTAGTAGTTATACATGATCAATATACATTACATATTTTTTAAATGCAGTTAAGAATATTTTATAAGCAATCTATAAGATCTACCTACTTATCTAAGAGCATTAACTTCAAATAATTTATGTAGGAAAAATTTAAGATACAGCGTTAAAGCGTTATGAGGTAACAATCAAATTTGTTTTTCTTACAATTACAATTGTAAAATAAAAACAAATTAAAGTGATAGTATTCATTTTAAAATAGCAGTAACAAAAAAAATCCAGTTCGTTAACGACTGTACTAGATTAATTACTTAATTAGTCGACTTAGCTATGAGTTTGGACATTTTTTCAAATCTACCTGTATGATCATATCATAGAAAATTGCTTGAGATTACCTTATAAATTTGGTATTTACTCATTTTTCATTAAAGACATCTTGTAGTACATCTGACGATGTTGTAACATGGTAATGACGCAGTATTGTGAAGCAGAGTATCTCAAACGCTATTATAATAGTTTCCTCACGTTTTTGCAGATGACTTGTGATCTTTTTATGGGGAAACAGGCTGGGGTGCAGCCTGCAGATGGTAGTTACTGACAAACTCTTCCTTATCTCAAATCAGTCTCGTTATGTAGGTAGGTACCGCTTCGGATTGCTTGGGAACTGTGACAATGAACGTTATACAATATGCAACAATAATTAATGTTGGATTGTAAGTAAAGAACGAGATTACATGCCTAATTTGATAATAATGCTCATATTCATTCTGTACTTATTAATTTCAATATCAACCTTCTATTTATGTGTAAATGTTATGAAGCATTTATTCTCAATGGTCAAAGTTGGATTAGCGACAGTATTTAAAAAATACATAAGATTAAAAATAACCAAAAAATACACGAAAACATTCTATATCTATCTATATATAGATATTATATATATAGATGTTCTATATATAGCAGGCTTTAAAAATTCACTATGACATCCACATAAAATTTCAGAGCGCTTTAAAAACGATAATAATAATTAAAAATGTATCTAATCTAATTATTTATATATTTTTAATGGATATATATATACATGCAATTATAACTAATAAATAGTTAAATAAGATTAATTTACTGACTGTTATAACAGATTCATTTGTATAATTATGAGTATTTACATTTAGAAGAAACTATGTCATAGATTGAAAAAAAATCAGTTAAATACGGATTCTTCACTAGAACAAAAATATTCTGTCACTTTTTGTAGTCAACCATAACGTAATGAGAATTAAATGGAAACAACATTTGATCTGCTGTGGGATTTAAACCAGTTTAGGTATGTAGTTAATGAAGTATCAAAATAATTTCAAGGATTTACAACAAAATAAAAAATTACTACCAAAATAAGTTATAATTAGCATGACTTACCTTTGGCGGTATACTAGTCATAACGTAAGTATGTTGGTTTACCTACTATAACTAAATTATGTTTTTGATGTCTAATTTTTCACTATACGGCATCGAATTTAGTCGAAATAAATAAATACAAATAGATATTCGATCAACTAATAATATGAAGTTAAAATATGTATAATATTTAGGTATTTAACAAAAAATAGAAATAAATGTTTGTAAAAAATATTTCAAAGATATATATTCTCTCTAGTGCTAAGAGGACAACACTTAGTTTAACTCCAGATGATAGTTTAACACTTTGATTGCAATAAAGAAGAAGATTACCTAGAATAAATCTTTACAAAGTTATTATATATACTTTAGAAGTATAACGTAATACTATATATCCGTTTAGATTTATATTTCTTTACCCGTCTAAGGAAAAAAATATGTAACATAGGTATTAATGTAGGTAAATATAGGTGTTAATGAAACCGCAAAATTTTTTAACCGTAACGAAAAAAGATTGTAATCATGTCTTATCTATTTAAAAAGTAAATATAATAATTTATTATGGATCTAATTGAATAAAATTGTAATTAACTGCATCCGAAATGTCTTGCAATGGCAAGGGAAGAGATTGTGGCAAGTCACGAGTTTTTGCCGCAAGTCAAGGTCTCCCGTTGGTAGGTAAACTACGTAATGAAATTCATGGATTCTAATCAATTGCTGGAATGTTAAAATTATGTTATATTTAATTAACTTATATAATTATTAATAATTCAATCCAGATATATAAAGCCATTACTTATTCGGCATTCTTAAAATCATGTGCAGTTAAAAAGTAACGACTGCAGATAATAAATATATAGTATGGTATTAACCGCACTCTTATTAATTTCATTATCACCAAATCCGTTTATAAATATGTGCATATTGAAATCTATTTTTATATAATGAAGTATCTGTAGATATTAAAGGCAATGAAGTATTTTATTTGTATAAAAAATACAAGAAATTGCAATAACATTTTTGTTCAACAATTTTTTTAATTTCTATTATAAATGTTTATATAAATTTATAATTATTCCATGTTATTTTTCCACTTTAAGACGCCTAAGATTATTTATTTATATATGAAGTCTGAGGGTAACATATAAAATAGAAATTACAAAATAAACTTGATATCGAAATTGTTTAAAGTAACTGTGAAAAAATAATATAAAAACAAACTGTTTTATTAGTGACCGTAACATACCAAATGTGTTATATAAGGCAAATTCAGTAAAATATTATGAAAGGATTTAATAGACACTAGAGTTTTAATAATTAATTCGTGCGGAATTGATTAAATTTATGCTACCTATGTAGGTAAATCGATTACTTCCTTATTCCTATTTTCTATATTCGTTTTCTTCAAATGTATTAAAATCGTAGTCTTGATGAGGCTAGACTGTCTGATTATCTGCTTTTGTATTAAGGTGTTACGTAATATCACGGAATATGTAGTGGAATTTGTGTCAATATAAGATTTTAGAGATATTCAATTGTTTAGTACCTATAACACAAGCTCTGTTTAGCTTGGGACGAGGTGCTGTGTGTACCCTGGGTTATTATTATTATATTTGATAGGATCTTGCCAGAAAGGATTTTCAGTGAATCTGACCAAAAAAGTGATATACACTAAAAAAATCGTATGTTTTCCTATTGTTATATAGGAGTAAATATTATAGTTAAGGAGTTACACTTTTGCACTTCTATAGCTAAACGTAAACAAAGGAATAACATAAAACTCTATCTAGCTTTTATCCCGCAAGTTCGTTGAGATGATCAAGACGATCTGTCAAATCACTGTAGCCTACGCCGGTACCTCTATTTTCGATTTTCTCATTATATGTATGTGTATCTATTTCAACAGAAGTTTATTATATATTCTTATCACATCCTCGAATCCACATAGCATGGCCATTTGTATTTCTATATTACACTTTCTGTGAAATCAACTTCTTCGCTTTATGAAATAATGTCATCAAACAGGTATATAATACCTATACTCGTATTTTATTTCTATGAAATAATATATTACCGAAAACTCTGCATTTAAAAACATATCAGAGAATGGTAAAGTATAAAGGCTGTCTAGATTTGGTAAAGAATAAACAATAATTGTTTTATTTCTTCATTTTAGTGTTTAGTAGTAATTGTATGTTTTTATTCCAGATTCCAAATGAGGGCATTAAGTATTACCGTCGTCCTTGCATTGATATCAGTATGTAAAGCGGCACTTCCCCAGCTGCGCTTCGCATGGAAACAAATAGATTACACTTGGGATTCACCCGCCGATCGTGAAAACGCCATTAAAGATGGCATATTTGATCAGAAAAATAACTTTCCAGTTGGTTTAGCTCGATGGAAAAATAAGGTCTTCGTTACAGTTCCAAGATGGAAAAGTGGAGTAGCTTCTTCTTTGAACTACGTGGATTTGGATGGTCCCTCAGACCAACTGTTAAAGCCATATCCCTCATTCAAAGATAACCTGGTCCCTGATAGTGCAAAGGCACCACCTTCGAACAGTTCTGTAATATCGGTATTCAGAGTACACGTAGATCCGTGCGACAGACTATGGGTTATGGACACAGGATTTGCAGATATATCCGGTGAGCTAATTTGATTTATTGTATAGGTATTACAAATTGAGTAAAATTTTACTACGATATATTTTATTTGCGATTTATGTAATTTAAATACGAGGTTCGTTATTTTTGCAATAAATGCAGATTCAGCGATTTCAGCGATTTAATAATATTTTATTGTTATATTTTAGGAGCTGGAAATCTCATTGTTGAGCCATCTATAATCATTTTTGATTTGAATACTGATCAACTGTTACATCGGTATTTTCTCAAACCAGAGGATATGAAAGAGGATAGCTTTTTTGCTAATATCGTAAGTATATTATTATAAATGATAATATTATTTAAAGTATCTATGATTTTATATATAACAATAAATGTAGGTATTTTATAAAGCTAAAATTTAATAAAGTTGTTGTAGGTACTTCCTATGTGAAAAAAATATTAGTTAGATATGTAATAATAACTTACGTTTCTTGCATTGACATAAGGTGTCGTTTAGCATTAATAATTTGTAAAATTGTTTTTATCACAATGTAATAACTACTCGCCATAATGCATGCATTATGGCACGGTCTAAGAAACTTGAGATTTTTATGTGATTTGTATGCATATCACATTAAGGTTGTATGTTTTGTCAGGTATGTATTTTATTATAATTTAATTTAATTTATTATGCATTACAGGTAATTCTTAATCGATACCTATAAAAAGCAGGAAAATTAAATGGTAACATATGTCAAAACCTACGTAATATTGCAAATTTAACAGTGCTGATTCATCTGTATAAAAATTTCAAAGCTTATGGAGATATCTGCATGCATATGTAAATAAATAATATTGACATTTGCAGGTTGTTGATGTGGACAAAAACACTTGTGACAATGCATTCGCATATTTATCTGACTTGGGAGGGTACGGTGTCGTCGTGTACAGTTTGAAGCAGGATGCATCCTGGCGCGTGTCGCATCACTACTTCTTCTTCGAGCCGCTCTTTGGCTCCTACAACGTGGCTGGAATCAAGTTCCACTGGACCGATGGTGTGTTTAGTGTGGCTTTGTCAGAGCCCCGGGAGAACGGGTGAGTGACTCGAATGACCTTAATTATTTAGTCTTTATTGGAACACGTACGATCGGAGATAAAAAATAACTGTAGGCGTGCAAAAACGTTTAAATTTAGTTAAACTTGAGCTATTATTATAACGGGCCTTATATTTTATTATACTGCCAAGAGGGATACCGTAGTGACCTCTTTGGGAATGTAAACATATTGCCAATAGCAATGAACTTATTGATATCCATACATAACATAATTATTTTCAAACAGAATTAAATTTTTTCGAATTCCGTATACTCAAATATACAAATTTTATTGAGATATCTCCCTGAATGTAGATAGAGATATTTATTTTCATGTGTATGATATAAGCCCGTAATAGGAAAGTATTTTAACATACTCGTATGTCTCATATATATATATATATATGTAGGCATAGTTAAATATATAGTTAATAAATGTATGTAAATATACTTTCCTATCACTGGTTTATACGTAATTTTGACGTCCTAATAAAATATGTTCATTATGTTCAGTATTTAACAAACAACAGTTTATGTTTGTAATGATTTATAAAAAAGAAAAAATTATTTAATTCTCTCAAGAAAACAAACTACATAAATAATTAACAAATGACATTCGAAAAGTTATGTTGATGGTATGTCAATAATAAGGTTCATGAGATATAATTTATTTGTCGTTATTTTAATGGAGGTCGCGCTATAAAATATAACTAGTTGACAAATAGGTACTAGTAGGTTCCTTTATTATATTTTATCGTCATGTTTAGTAGGTACAAGTAACTTTCGAAATAGTCCAAGGTTGTTATAACTTACAAGTTTTGGAATATGAAATTATGAACAATAAGATAAAATTACAAGTTTAAATGAAAATTTAACTGTATAGAGTCAAATACAGTTACAGTTAATAAAATTAACGGTTATTTGATCCGTTTGGTTAACGGCTTAACTTAAATATACCTACTTATTAACAACAAGGAAAACGATAAATATACAGAGTCTTAAGTATGTTATATTTACATTTTAAGCTAATCAATTAATTCGTTATAAAATATTCTATGAAATTAATAAAGGTAAATAAAAAATATTTATTTGTGTGGATAAAGAAATAATATGCGATTACAGTATATAGTGGATATCCTGTAATCGCATATTGACAACTAGCAAAGACAAATCCTCATATTTTCAGTTATTTTAGCCTACTTTTCTGTTTTCAATGCTGGGCAAAAGCCTTGTTTATACCAACAAATTTGTCCCATTCATCAGCAAAGTGGTACCGGTAGCGGTATCAGTTTTGGTCTACCATGATATCGGTACCCGTCTCTTGATATTCAATATGTGAAGAGTGTGACATTTCAGAGTGCATCCTGGCCTACTCTCACTTATTATTATTGTATAAAAATATTTAATTGCCATTACATAAATGTTTACGTACCCTCAAGTCTTCATTTTACAACAACGATTTGCATCATACAATTACTCATCCACATAATGACATTGTTGAACGTTCTTTCAGCGAATTATTCAATGCACAACACAAAAAACTAAATTATATTAGAACATTTAACGTTATATTGATCGCAATAATTAGACAGGTACTGACAGTTTGTAATCTACGTTACAGATACAGAACAGCATTCTTCCATGCAATGTCCAGTACAAAGGAATTCTGTGTATCCACAGAGTTGTTACGGAATTACACCAAGCTTGACAAGTCTGAGGCGTTCCACGATTTCAAGGTACGTTTGATGGTGACAAGTTGATAACAATCATTGTTGCTAATTAATTAACTATCTGGGCTAATTATTTAATATCGAAGTGTTAAAGTTAGTGAAGCCTTACGTTAATTAACGTAACCTGATAAATTTAATTAAATATTGTAATTTTGATTAGTAACAAATAAAATTATATTAAAATTGTCTATTGATACGCAAATTCTAGTCACTTCGTTTTAACCTACACCAATAAACTCTCATTAATTCTACTACTGGAGTTTAGGGTTTAGTATTTTTAAACTTAGCCCTCAAGTGTTATTTTTATTCAAGTTGTATATTTGGTTAATGCGGTCTCTACTCCTCAACTCCTATTTATTAACATAAATATTTTACAGCTGCTGGGCGATCGAGGTGAAAACACGCAATCTTCTGCTAGTTATTTTGATGAAAAAACAAAAGTACTTTTCTATACGCAGGTAAGTGTTGTGTGAGTCCATAACTAATATAGGTACCTATAACTAGTAGAAGTAACATATACTTTTTCAATAAATGAAAATCAAATGTCTTGATTATTTCGTTGAAATTTAGAAAAAACGAATAAAGTTTCTTTATTTTACTGCCAATATTTGTCTATATTATCTTGTATTTGTTATTCATAAGTTTGATATAGTTAAGTAGGTATATTAATTTGTTGTGTGGTGAGTGGTATCCACTCTTGTGTGTTCTATTTCTCAATGATATTTAACCTTCAATTCAACGTCGCCGTGGGCAATCTGATAAATAAATATGCACATAATTAATTTCTAAAACTATAACACAATACTAGTTGAGAATAACTAGGTTTTATTCAGAGATATACATCTATAATTACTTGATTTACCTAAAGATACAAATACGGTCTGTATTTATTATGAATACACGGTAAGCAGAACGCGACTGCATTTTGATACCAACTTTATTGATTTACTTATATATTTGTTGGTTACTTATAATTTCCATTATCGAACTAACTCGATATTAAAATATATTTAAGGAGTTTTTATATTGATATTAATGTATATACAACCTCTATATAAAAAGTTAAGAATTTTACGTAAGTAAATATACAAACAAAATGCAGTTTGCTTTTTATCTTCAGGAATACTTAAAGAGTACTTTGTCACAAAAAATGTAATACCAAATAGCCATATCCTATGCATAACAATTGTTCCATTCCGTTTCATTAGTAGTAATGTAATAGCTAAAAATTCTTTACAATAAATTATTGTATACCATATATTAGGAACATTAATATTTTTTACAGGTTAATCGAGACGGTGTTGCTTGCTGGAACTCTAACAAGCCATATACTCCTGAAAATAACCCTATAGTGATCACCGATCCTAAGCTCTTTGAATTTACTAATGATATTAAGGTAAGTTATATTGTATAACAATTGAAAACAGTTAAAGTTATATGTATTTAGAAATAATGGCTGGTACAAATACAACACCAAGAGATACCAAATAAATAGGTACTAATTATAATTAACTTTCACTCTAAAGTAATTAGGTAGAGTTGAATGATGGAATTTAACAAAACATTTCTTATCCGCATATTCAAGTAACAGAGTTATACGTTATAGTTAGTTATTTGTAACACAGGACAAATGCTAGCTTGTGTCCTGTGTAGTCACATCCATTATGTCAGAGGACATCGCACTCATTATAAAGAAACATTAGGTTTTCAGTAAAAACAGTCTCTGTTATTAATTTATATTTTTAATTTACAGCATTGTTAATATTATAAATACAAGAGATACTGGTTGATCTCATAAATTTTTTGATTATTCTTGTACATACATATGTACAGTTTCTCATTTTCGCCTCTTGAAGTGATTTACTAAGTGATAATTAAGTCCGCTTGTGTTTTGTATTATGTACATTTTATTTTATATCTATTCATATAAATGAAATCGGAGTGTCTGTTTGTAATATTAAAATAAAAATTGTTTACTACATGCATATGAATATAAATACGGTACATACATCAAAATAACATTTTTTATAATTTTTGTCTGTCTGTTTGTTCCGGCTAATCTCTGAAATGGCTGGACCTATTTTGACGGGACTGTTTTTGGCAAGTAGCTGATGTAATAAGGAGTAACTTAGGCTAGATTTATTTTAGAAACAATCTTTTATTTTACAAAAATAAAATAAAATTTCACGCGGACGAAGTCGCGGGTACAGCTAGTTCTAAGTATACTTGAATCTTATAAATGTACATTTTTTTTAAATTTGGTATTTACAATTGTTGACAGTAGCATTGTCAGTTTAGGCTAATAGCAAGAGTAGCAAGTGCTATAGAACCGCGTAAAGAGTTCCCCACGCTATCACTTCTTTCTGCACATACATAATAGAAATAAGAAATGTAACCAGTTTTTAAAAAAATACATGTAAATCTTTCCCTCGACGCTCAGAAGGAGAAATTAAGGGCTTCTTGAAAGAATTTGCACTAGACCCGTGTTGGTTCTATCCGGCAATGGGCAGTGGGTATAAATAGGTATGCAAATACTAATCAGGATTAACATTACAGGTGGACAATGAAAGCAATCTCTGGATGCTGTCTGACAAAATGCCGCGGTTCATCTACTCTAATTTGGACTTGAATGACATTAACTTCAGGATTTTCAGCATTAGTACCACTGAAGCCATTGTAGGCACCACTTGCCAATAATATAGCAATATTTAACTTGCACTTGTCTGCATATATGTTCACGTATAATGAGTTTATGTATATTTTTATTGAAATAAAAACTTCATAAAATATATAAACAAATGGTATAAAAAGTATGTTTGTATGATTCTATTATTATTCTGGTTTATTTGTAAATGTTTATAATTTCAATAAAATGACATGCTAAGATTGTTTACTTGATATAAAAGAACGGAATGTGTCTATTTTATTTATTTGACAGCTACGCTTCACTATCAGCTGTGTGTGTGACTTCAGTGTATTTTTAATTATTTTGGAATCATAAAATATGGTATATTTGGTGTGTATGTATAGAATTAAATTAAAGTTTCAATGACATGTGTAACCACCGATCATTATAACCAATATTTTTACCGGTATCAAAAAATAGTTCACAACAACAATATTTATGTTTTATGAAATGTTTAATATAAAAAAAACGTTAAGTATAGAATAAATTATAGTATTACATGTACAATTAATTTTAATGAAAAAATAAATATTAAGAAAACATTTTACATATTTATTTCTATCTTGTACGATACACACACAGAAATGCAAAGAGCCATAACACCTTTTCCTCAGGAATGGTAATTTATAAGGGTTATCACGTGCGTGATATGAGAACGTGATTTCCGTGGTGCTGTTCATGTTGCCACTTACCACAGTTGGGTTGTCAGCTTGTTTGCTATTCCAATTAGATACATAAAAAAATAATAATCAAATAACCCAATTGAATTAAAATTTATTTGATGGTATGATATTCCGAGGTTAATATAGTAGACACTTTTGTTTATCTGGGTCTTTACCCCTTGACCCTTGTTTGACACTGATTCTTTATGTCGTACAAATGTAGGTCGAAGTAGATACTGCTGCCTAGCTGCGATGTAAACTAAATAAGGTAGAAAAAATATTTTAAAAAGCTTGAAACCCATTCAGTTGTTTTTGAGACAATCCGAACATATATACTGAAAAAATCGATTTTTTTTTTTTCATAAAGTTATGCCGATTTTGTATCTGTGATTGTGGCATTGTTTGTCTTATCTCTTTAGTTTGAAACAAAAGAACGCCGTCGACAAATACAAATTAAAAAACAACAATTAAAACAAAATTACAGACAAACAACAACTATTAAAACAAATCACATTAAAATTTCTATCCCGACACAAAACAATAGTAGGTCATAGTGAAAGTATATGATTTTCCTCGATTTTTGTTTGCGTAGACTGAGAGGAAAAATTCCGGTTCTTCCAGAGAAAGTGAATCTGCTTTAACAATTTGAACTCTATGGACCAATCGCCGATTTAGAATGAGGCTACATGGTTTGCGATCTCTTATATCTATATATAGAATACTATCAATAATAACATGTAATTTTTCGTCTATCAAAAATCCAATTTTTTTTATATTCATTTAGATTATAGGGTCTTCTCCAAATTAAAACTCAGAAAAAGGAATATTTTAAAACAGCTTGAAATTTTATAAACCCATTCAGTTGTTTTTGTAGAAAAAATCCTAAAATATCCCTAAAAAACAGGCCGAACATATATAAACAAACATTGTTTCGTAATGTATGTAGATTCTATAGATTGTTCTTATTTTATGGAACACTATATATATTTTGTGTAAGGTATAAGAAAAACAATTTAATGTTACTTTTGTTTTGTATGTAACATATATACATAACAATAACAGTATGAACAAAAATCTATTTAGAGATTTATTTTATTTAGAACAATACAATACCAAATTATGCAGCTACAACGTTAATAATAATAAATATAACTTACCACATGGAAAGAAATAACCATCCCGTCATCCATACATACCATTAAGAGATACAAAAAGAACTAACATCCAAAATCACAGAACATACTATAATTAACTTAATACCCACTTCCCACAACTCTTTCGTTTCCATAATATGTAATTATTAAATTCGAATTTACTACACTAAGGTAGACTTCATAAAAAGTTCTCAGTCTATATCTGTCGCCAAGCAATTTTCTTTATAAGTTGTGTTTCAGTAGAAAGGTCAGATGTGGCAGTAAAATTCCGGGATAAAAGGCATGAAATCTTAATCCTCTGAAATATTGACGCATGAGTGAATTCACGGGGGTCACGTGATAACGTGACATCCGCAGTGTTGTTCATGTGAAAAGTTAAGGCAGATAACAAAAAAATAAATATCCATATCATTTTAGTAATGATAATTATCAAGTTAAAAATGCTGACCATTTCTGGTTTACATACAATATCATCATCCTAATATACAGTACTTTCCACTGTACGTTGATAACATGCAGGAAGTCTAAAAACAACATAACAAAGATGGCTTTATTTACGTTGTTTTTCAAAGGAAATTGAATCGTGGTGTCTTAGCTTCAAACTTCATAATTTGTACATAATAAGAAACTGATCTTACAGCTATGTCTACAGTCTCACATTGACGATAAGTAGTTAAATGCGGTATTTATAAGAGGAGCGGGGTGCCTCGGTGTCATTTAATACTTTTTGTATTGCAAGCAACGCACGCTACGACTTTCACACGATGGCTTCTAAAAACAAAACCGAAAAAGTCGGAATCGTCGGGTATGTACTTTTTAAACATTGTCTCAAATATTAATTCCAAATTTCCTATCACTATTTTAATAATGAGCTTTAGTTCATATCAATCATTTATAATTATTGAATTTTAAGATCAATGCAACTGTCTTCTTTTCAATATTGCACTGCTATACTATATGTTTAGATTAAAAATAATTATAGTCTAGATCTACTTCAGTATCTGTTACTTAAATTCATTAATTATGTATTTGTCCGCATGTGTAAATTTTAATTTAGTAACTTTATTTTCCAACATATATATATTTAATCTTCTACAACACTAGTTTTGTCATTATTTTTTGTGGATTATAAATAAAAAATAATAAGTTTTCCACTATACATTACCACATGCTCAGTGTTATGATCAAATACGTTATACGTTTTTATTGTTTGGCAGCTATAAAAGTTACCTACTATTCGTATAATAATAATAATAATAGGTATAGCTATAGCTGCAAAAAAGAATGTAGCACAAATTTCATGGCCTAGCAAATATTCAATGTCAATGAACGTTATTTAAATTAATTAAAACATACCTTAACATAACATAGGAGTACAGTCGTATTCTTACAAAATAAATAAATTTTGTTTTCAAGGAAAATGTTACAATACTCATTTTATTGTCTTCTTTCCTCATTTTTGGTTGCACTGACTTCCTTGTCTAATTAGCTGTAAATAAGTGACTATATTTGTGTTATAAACCATTGTATCTAAAAATCACAGTGCCTACTTATATCAAAATCTATTTGATTGTCGGCTTTGCATTTGCCTTGAAGGTAATACTCCAATTTATGACCCTAAAGAAATGAGAGAGAATATTAATATTGCGGACTTTTGATCCCATTACTATCAGTATAATCTATTAGGTCGACTTCCATTTTTGTATATGATAATTAATTAATAACCGCGTGGAGCTGCATAGGAGAGCGTAACTGCACTTTACCTTCCAATACAATAAAGTTTATTTTGAGCTATTCAAGGTAAGCATAGCATAAATGAAAACGATACATATATATAGATATCATATCAGGTGGGGGTGGTCAATATCTGAATGAACACATGAAAAATATATCTTTACTGGCTGACCCCGCAAACTTTATTTTGCCATATAAATTAAAATCGGATGAAAATTTAGGGTTCTATGTAAAATTATGTTAAAAAAATTAAAGGAAATGTTAGAGGTTAACTCTTATTACTAGAGGATAACTCTTATTACTTGGGGTATAAAAAAATATTGTAGCCGATTCTCAGACCTACATATAAAATTTAATAAAAATCGGTGAAGCCGTTTCGGAGGAGTATGGTAACTGACATTGTGACATGAGAATTTTAAATATAAGATTTTTGAATGCATCTTCTAATATCTATATTACTATATAGATATTAGAAAACTTTCCTATTGAATTTATAGAAGATAGAAGATCCTATGGAATTTAATTCTTGCCCAAATTATAGTGATACATTCGATGCTAAATTTTATTAATTTCTTTATTTAATAACAAAGTCATTTGTTGTATTTCCATTATAGGTATAATATTATTAATAATATATATATATATATATATAGTAATCCCAGCAGCACGTTATATATATATATACACTGTTTCTCCCCCCTTATTATTCTCTCTCTGCTTGCTTATTGTATGTGTTTCTAGTCTTTAAACATGAGATATACATTCACACACTCCCCCCCCTGTGAATACTTTCTTTTATTCAATGTCACTCCCTGGCTGTCCTTTGTATGGCTG